GCATTGGAAATGCACAAATACCCAAAGAGTTCCAGGACGGTATGGAATTTCAGAAAACTTGGTTGTGTCAGCAATGGGGTCTGGTAGGTGGGGGTAATGGCCCTGCCTGGCGCCCAAAAAGGGGGCACGACCCCGAATGACCTGCCGACCACTGGTGTAGCTAAACCTTTACATTTACTTGACCGTCTGCTGCAATTGATTCATAGCACGTGAAGCGTCAGCGAAATTCATAGTCCTTTACAGATGGCAGGGGTGTCGTTTGTACAGAGGTCGCTGATGGGCACGGGTCAATGCCGCAGTCGTGGGCGGAGCCTAATGTCATATGACGTAGAAAGCCTCTATCCAGGATGGAAAAACAGTTAACATTACGAGTCAATGACAAGTGCCTGAAATATTGAAATGGCGATAAAATATCTAAATTGTAAAAGTTTCGGCAGGTCTTGAAACGGCCATGTCCTGAGCTTGGTTGAAATTCCTCCACGCATTTAAAAATAATCGCGAAAAATTAGGGTCTCAAGGGGTCTGGCGTTAACAGTAGGTGTTTGACAAGGATTGAACTTGAGACGGTCTTGACGGAGGTCGAGTCTGTAGTGAACTCCCGCCCGCTGACACTGGTGAGTGACGAGGCTGACAGCGACAACCCCCTCACCCCTAGTCACTTTCTGATTGGGCGAGGTGCCGGGTTTCAAGCGAAATTGCTGGAGGATCCGGAAAATGTCTCAGGGAGGGCACTATGTGTTCGTAGAGTAGGTACTTGCGGAATATCCCACCTTCTGTACGCAAGTTTAAGTCAAAGGGTAAGTTAGAGATAGGTTCGGTGGTTCTCGTCAGGGAGGAGAACCTTCCCCGGATGAGGTGGCTTCTGGGAAGGGTCACCAAGCTATTCCCAGGGCGGGACGGGTTGATACGGTCGGCCGAGGTTCGGACTCAGCGTGGTCTTAGGACTCGGGCGGTCCAGCGCCTCTGTGATCTGGAGGTCATGCAGCCTGCGCTGGTGAGCTGGGAGATTTAAGTGCCAGGATTCAGGCATCCATCCTGTGTCCTACGAGATCCTGTTCATTAGTCTTCCTCTGTTCTTCCTGCTCGTTTGCACCCACTCTCGCCGTGCTTAATATTAGTTAGGCATTTAAGGATTGACTGTTATCTGATTTGATTGAGTGGTGAGACCCGAGTAAAGCCTACTGAGTTCGTTTGAAGCGTGAGGCTTCAAAGGCCGGGAGGATGTTACGGAATATGAGTTTCAATTTAGGTGCGTTGTTTCTTGTGCAGTTTGCAGTGAATTTAGTGGTGTTGTGTTTAGTGGTGTTGTGCCGTGTGGCGTGTGCCGTATGGAAAGTAGCGCACAGCATTCATTGTTCGTCTTGTTTTGGACACGTGTGGACGTGTGAGATTATTGAGATATTGTTTGAAACTCGATACAAATATAGAAATCGAGACAACGTCATCAAAATTGGCAGGGGATAGGTGTTTCATACATCATTCATAATTAAAGTGCAAGATGAACATTAACGTAATTGCATGTAGCGGGTAGCTCTGAGCCAAATAAGGTACATACCTACCTATACTGTGCCAACTTTTAGCTCTAAATTTGAAAATGTGTTTACAAATGGCAATAGCCAATAGGTGACATTGTTGTCAGCAAGCCCATCATGAGATAACACAGTTATGAATATGATGTACAATCATTGACGTGTGGGAAGCACTAGACATCAAAGCAGTAAAGAAGGGAATCCAGAAAGAGATTTACCTCACTTTGACTTGAAAGTTAACAGAAAAGAGACTGAAGAAAATTGCAAATATCAAGGTGTGCTAAGTAGCACAAGAGTCTTACCTAGAACTTCCTATCATAAAGTCATCCCCTTCCACCCCTTCCCCCAAAAAATATCCGTGCCGAAATATCGAGTAAAATGCTACATAATATGCAGATAACCTATCAATAAACAGATTACCAAAAGATAATGAAATGCGGCGAAGGCGTACTTAAGGAAAGATGGCCCTCCGATCACGGACGTATAAATAAACTGGACTGACGATCCCAATGGCCCTCCTATGGAAGATAGTGAAGCCGACAAGGCGCCATTTTACGTTGCCAAAAAACCGTGCTGTGAAAGGTCATCGAGCCAATACAATTGGAATTGCGTCTAAACGGATGATCGGATCGAGATGCTGGTGGTACCGTTCGACGGGTAATGCTTTGAGACAGGTGATGATGCATGTCACAGGTCATTCGGTGTCACGTGGCGCGTGCCACGTGCCGACAAAGTCAGGAAGGGCAAAAACCTTTAAGCGACGCTCCAAATTAAACGGTGGGTGGCACAGGTGCCAAATTCAAAGGTCACATGTCTCGTGGGGGGATCCATGTGATCGCAAGGCACCTCGCAGTTGCGATCAAACGTAAGTTGAATCGGAACAGATATTGGAGGGATTCATCACATCGTAGGCTAAGTAGATACGCAAGTTGTATCGCAAATGGTGAAGATACGAACTAACTTTACGAATCTTCTCGGTCGATCGGAAGGCCGATCGTAGCGAAGCTTTACCTCTTTCTCAAGAGAAAAATATAAGAAATTTTCAAAATTTTCACAAAACCGGAATATATGTTAAACAAATGTGGTTGATGAACACGTGTGCAAAATTTGAAGTCGATTTCTTCAGAAATGGCTGCGCTAGAGCGTTTTAAATTTACACGTTGAAAACGGTCACTTTCACGTCATTTTTGTAATTTTTTTTCAATTTTGAAATTTAAAAAGTGTTTTGGGCAATTTTTCGCGTTAATTGCGAAAATCTGACCAAAACATGTATCGCACCATCAATGATCCGATACGCCATCAGAGGCCGCGCCGCGGACAGGTGGGCGCGGCGATACCTAGGCCGCGTGGGGGTTACACTGGTGTTCGGGAAGGGCTATGTCAACGCGAGGCAGGCCGCGGGGGAGCCGGTTGCGGCGCCGGTCCGTATTTGTCGGCGCCTAACAGTGCAGCGGTGCGTTTATGGCGGAGGGAGGGGAAGCGGTGTAGTTCGGCAAGGCCGCACACAGGAGAGGGCACACGGGCCTCCCCCCCATTCGAGTTGGGGCCCCTAATCTTTAGACCGCCGAAGACCATGTAAAATGAAGTGAAATAATGATTGAAAAGACCGGGAGGGCCCATCTCGTTCCCCAGCAGGCCCATACGAGTCCATAAATGCCCAGTAGCGCAGCCAGGGGTATTGTGGTGAAATTTCAATGGCCCTCAAAAGACCTCAAAGGGCCCACAGATGGGGTCACCGGGTCCTCAGATGGTCTCGAAGGGCCCTCGGTTAGCGTCAAATGGCCCTCATCTGGTGTCAAAGAGCCCTCAGATGGCCAAATGAAGGGCCACAAGATGGCCTCAAAGGGCCCTCAGATGGGTTCAAAGGGCTCTCAGCCAACGTTAAACCTACCTCAGAAGACCTTAAAGGGCGTCAAAGGGCCCTAAACCTGCGTCAGAGGGCCCTGAGCTCACGTCAAACGACCCTCCGAAGGCCTTAAAGAGTCCTTAGCTTGCGTCAGAGGGCCCCCAGCTGGTGTCAGTGAGTCCTCCTCAGCTGGCGCCAAAAGTCCATCTGAAGGCCTCAAACGGTCGTCAGCTGGAGTACTACGGTCCTCAGATGCCGTCACGCGGCCCTCAAAAGCCTCAAGGAGCCCTTATAAGGTCTCAAAGGGCCCTCATTTGGCCTCAAAAGGCCCTCCGCTAGCGTTAACCGGACTTCAGAAGGCCTTAAAGGGCCCTTATCTGGTGTCAGAGGGCCCCCAGCTAGTGTCAGAGGGCCCTCAGTTGGCGCAAAATCGCCATCAGAAGGCCTCAAACGGTCCGTAACTGGAGTCCAACCGCAACGGTCCTCAGGTGGCGTCAAGCAGCCCTCAAAAAGCCTCAAAGGCCGCTTAGAAGGCAGCAAAGGGCCCTCATATGACCCCAAAGGGTCCTCTGCTGGCGTCAAACGGACCTCAGGTCTCAACGGGCGTCAAAGGGCCCTGAGCTCGTGTCAAATATAAAAGCGCCCTTAGCTGGTGTCAGGAGGCCCCCAGTTGGTGTCAGCGTGCCCTCAGCTGGTGTCAGAGAGCCCTCAGTTGGCATCTACTGGCCATCAGAAGGCCCCAAACGGTCCTCAGATGGCGTCCAACGGTCCTCAGCTGACGTTAAGAGACCCTCAAAAAGGCCTCAAAGACCCCTCGGCTGCTGAAGAGGCCCTTAGCCTCAAAGGAAACTCAAGAGACGTTAAACGGCCCTAAAAAGGCTTGAAAGGGCCCTCTGCTGGTGGCAAAGGGCTCGCATATGACTTCAATAACAGCTTTGTCAAAAACGGACCTGAGAGACCTTGCCGGTCCCTGGTTATAAGGGACTCCTGTCTCTTGCAGTAACCTGAGTGGCCCACGTTTACTCACGTTTACTGAGGGGCCCCTGGTTATTGAAGGAGTCCCTGGTTACTGGAAGGGCCCCTGGTTATCAGAGGGTTCCCTGGTCACCTGGTGGGTCCCTGATCATTTGAAACCTCCCGATCATCTGAGCGCCCCCTGATTGCCTTGGTCTTGGCGTTGGCGTACAGTTTAAAGGGACTATCCCACCTTTAACATGGGGTTTGAGTTGAGATAGCCAAGTTTGCGGCGAGGTTCAGAAACCACTATCTATCTAGGTTGCAACCCCCGCGGCCTCTTGGTGTTGAAGAAATTCGTTCCCTTCATTTGAAAATGGGCCTTGTACAAGGCCCTATCTTCAACATGGAGCGACCGTTAGTGTGACGTCACCTCGTTTAGTCATTCTGATTTAAATGGGTTTGTTCGTTGAAAAATCGCTTAAAACCTGGTCTGAACTTTGTTGTGGTGCCTACAGAGTAAAAAGAATCAGCTTTATGACAGTAATGTGGCCTGGGGAAGGAGTTAATTTTGGGCTGTGACGTCACATATTTGAAAGTTTGTGTTTGGAATATCGGAAGCCTAGAATGTTTAATGAAAAATAAATGCCAGAACCGTGTTCCTGGTCATCCAATCTATAAAGTCGGGTGTAATAGATCAGAGACGGGCTCTGGGCACGAACTGTTTATTGGCGGCCTTGACCAACGGAGCGGGCACAGATATGGCAGCGGTACAACGGCTGCCATACGAAGGGAGCTTCCCCTATAACACTTCCCCCTCCGTTCCGGACTAGGGGTACCTCCGGAACGAACCAAACCAAACAAGCATTTGCATAACAAAAACAGAGCGCACTGAAACATCCTTCTCACAGCCGCTGCGGCCCCTGAGTAGGCCGTGGCCTCAAGTTGTACGAATGACCCGGCCCGCCGGCTGGCCGCTCGGACTCCACCGGAGCCGCCGCCGCGGCCGGAGCGACCACCGGTAGAGGATCAGCCAGCGACACCTCATCCGCACCCGGCCGCCGGCGCACACCCGAACAATCACGGCGAACATGGTCGAGATGCCGCTGCACCACTCTACCGCAGTCTAACAAAACCGTCACCTTCACACTTGTCACCTCTAACACAACACCCGGTAACCAGGAAACGCCGCCCGTCCCCTGTAACCTGGTTACTGCCGTCACCCACACTGCGTCCCCAACATTCACATGTCGGGATCGGGAACCTGTATCTCGATATAGTTTTTGGGACCGTTGTCGACTTTGCATCTCGAAAGAGAGATCCGGCCGTAGTCCATCAAAATGAGTACGAAGCGGCCGGTTCAAAAACAATTCCGCCGGCGACTTCTGAGTGGTCGTGTGCGGCGTAGTACGGTACTGAAACAGAAAACGAGCCACTCTGGTTGATACGGAACCCTTGTACATTCTAAAGCCCCGTTTGAAGGTCTGCACACATCGTTCAGCCAGACCATTCGATGGGGGCATACGGCGGTGACGTGACGTGTCGGATACCATTCATAACGCAGAACTGTTCAAAAACAGGAGAAGTAAAACATGCCGCGTTGTCAGAACAGAGTACACGTGGCAGACCCCAAGACGCAAACGACATTCGCAGTTTATCCAATGTCACAGCGGTGGTCGCTACTTTAGTTGGATAAACATCAAGCCACTTGGAATGCGCATCAATAATAACTAAAAACATCATCCCTTCCAGAGGACCACAGAAATCTATATGCACACGATCCCACGGACGAACAGGCCATTCCCAAGGGTGAATGGGGACGTTGGCGGACTGGTTTCGTCGCTCATTGCACGCTCGACAACCGCTCACTACGCGCACGATATCGTCGTCCATTCGTGGCCACCACATATACGCTCGAGCCAGAGATTTTGTTCGACTCTCCCCCACATGTCCATCATGCAACAATTTGAGCAGCTTCTCCCGGGCCTGCGGCGGGATGACCATACGTCCGCCCCACATCACACAGCCATCCTGACAACTCAGCTCCCCAATACGCTGCTGGTACGGCCGAAACTCGGCAGGCAGTGCCGCGTCACGCGGCCAACCGTGCTGCGTATAACGCAAAACCGCTGATAGTACTGGGTCTCGGCTCGTCCACAAACGAATCTGAGCTGCCGTGACAGGCGTTGCGTCTAGAAACTGCAACATGTTTACCACCTCTGCAGGAGTCGGTGACGAGCCGTCCGTCACCGATGGTAGCGGCAGCCGGCTTAAACCGTCACAATGACCCTGCTTCGAACCTGGCATGAACTCTAAACGATAATCATAAGCAGCGAGAAGCAACGCCCAGCGCAGCATACGCGCCGAGATCATCTCCGGTAACGGCTTACGCTCTCCCAATAAACCTAATAGCGGCTTGTGATCGGTGCGAATCACAAAGGCACGGCCGGCTAAATAATAATTAAACTTCTTCACACCACTGATCACTGACAAAGCCTCACGATCCGTCTGAGAATAGTTACGTTCGGTTTTATTCAACGACCGCGAATAAAACGCTATCGGGCGCTCTCCTACCGCCGTTTTCTGATTCAGAACTACCCCGATTCCCACCGGGCTAGCGTCACACGCGAGAATCACTGGCAAAGAGGGATCGAAATGCGCCAGTACTGGCGGAAACAAAAGCAACGCCTTGGCGCGACTGAATGCATCCCTTTCTGCAGAGCCCCAGACCCAGGGCTCACCCTGACGCAACAGCTTGTACAGCGGGTACAGCACGGTTGACAAATTCCTCAGGAATTTGCTATAATAATTTATCAGCCCCAACCAGGCCTGCAGTTCTGTGATGTTCCGCGGCTCGGGCGCCCCCCGTATAGCGGACACTTTGTCGTCGGTGGTTTGCACGCCCGCCCCACTAACCGTGTATCCCAAGTATGTAACGGAGTGCACCCCAAAGCAACACTTCGCGCGATTGGCTCGCAACCCCGCCTCAGAGAGCCGACGCAGCACTTCCCGTAGTGCCGCGTTGTGCGTCGGAAAAGACGGTCCGGCGATGATTACATCATCCAAAAATACCGCTACACCTTTTATATCCCCGAGCAGCTTGTCTAACGTCCGCTGAAATAACGATGGAGCAGAGGCATACCCAAAACTCAGACGAGTGGGTCTCAGTAATCCCCTCGGAGTGTTCAAAGTCAATAACTCTCTTGCGTGCTCATCCAACACCAACTGATTGTACGCACTTTTGAGGTCTACTTTAGAAAAGACAGAGCACCCAGCTATTTTCACCAACAGCTCCTCTACCCTGGGTAATGGGTACTGATCGAGATTCGCTACTCTATTCACGGTCAGTCTGTAATCACCGCACAAGCGCAGGGTACCATCTGACTTCGGCACCACCACAAGCGGCGCCGCCCACTTACTGTCGCGGACTTCCTCCAACAGCCCCAGGCGTATTTGGCGCTCCAGCTCCTCGTCGACTCGCTGGCGGTACGCCAGCGGCACCGGGCGGGCCTTGAAGAACCGCGGCGTGGCGTCGGGATCCACCACGATCGACACCGGCTCGCCCGTGAAGCAGCCCAGCTGATCGTCAAACACCTTGGGGAACTCCTTCAGTAGAGGGTGCAACTGAGGATCGGCAGTCACACCCGACACCCGACAAATGGCCGCCCAGTCCAGGCGAAAATGTGACAGCCAGTCACGGCCGAATAGGCAAGGTCCGTTACCCTTCACAATCACCAGCGGCAGGTTTACAGAGACAGAGCCATACTGCACACACACCAACACCTCACCCAACACAGACAGGGCATCACCACCATACGTCTGCAGTTTGAGTGCACTGGGTTTCAGCACTGGACCCCCCTTTGGCCAGAGCTTTAAAAACTCGGCCTCGGAACACACAGATACTGCCGCCCCAGTGTCCAGTTCAGTTCTGATCGGGCGGCCGTTGAGTTTTACGTCTACGTACAAAGGGGGCCGACGACTATCACGCCCTGTACCAGCTGATTCGTAGAACAGCTGATACACCTCACCGTCCTCGTGAGCGGGCAGGTCCGATGGCTCGTCGAACTCGTCCTCAGCCACCAGATCCAGTCGTCCGCTGCTGCAGGCATCCCGAACATGCCCCATCGCTCCGCACAGGAAACATCTCCGCGATCTGGCCCAGCACCGCGACGGGCTGTGTCGACGACTACGGCAGCGGTGGCAGGGGTGGCGTCGCTCCTCGGCTGCATCTGGTCGCCGGCTCCGCCGACCCGCTCCGCCCCTGTGAGCGGCCGGTGGGCCCGTTCCCCGGGCGCGCGGCGCCAAATCTCCCCGCTCTTCACGGGTGCGGCTCTGCCGCTCTACCCGTCCGACTGCAGCTGGTGGGATGACGTCACAAGCCACGTGACCGTCCTGCGCCGCGGCCAAGGCCGCGGCCGCGCCGGCCGGAGCTGAGCCTCGGGCGATCTCCCTCGCTTGCGATTCAGCTGACTCGAAGGCCCGCGCCGCGGACACTGCGGACGCCAGAGTCAGATCCGGGTAGCTGAGAAGACGCGTCTGGAGACGACCGTCACTGATGCCACAAACAAATCTGTCCCGCAGGTTGTCATCCAGCGCCTCCGGTGTAAACGAGCACCGCTTCGCCAGACATCGCAGCCGGGCGAGAAACTCAGCCACCGACTCGCCGTCAGCCCTGCAGCACGAGTGAAACCGAAACCGTTCCACTATCACCGACTCGGCGGGCTCAAAATGATTGGACAGTACCTCCACTAACTCTGCATACTTGCAATCACTCGGCTTCCTTGGCGAAACCAAATCCTCGAGCAGCCCATAACACTGAGGTCGCAAAACACTCAGCAGTATCGCACGTCGCTTCACCGCGTCCGTGTCTGCCACATCACAGGCGATGAAATACTGCTCCAATCGACGCACAAAACACTTAAAGCCCTCCACTGTCGGGTCAAACTCTGGGGCACGGCCCCACAGCGCTGCCATGACCCCGAAAGGCCCGCGGCAGTTCCCTCGTCGCCACTGTAATAGATCAGAGACGGGCTCTGGGCACGAACTGTTTATTGGCGGCCTTGACCAACGGAGCGGGCACAGATATGGCAGCGGTACAACGGCTGCCATACGAAGGGAGCTTCCCCTATAACATCGGGCACAATTTAACTGGTTTTAACAACATTTTAGAAGGTGGGATAGTCCCTTTAAAGTCGTCGGCACACTGCGGCCTCCTCTTTCACAACAAGTTGTGTTTTATAAAAGACGTTCCTTTCGGCTTTTATTGACTTTAGCCAAAGGAGGTTAGTCAAAGTATGGCCGCAAGCGACGAGGCCCAGCAGTCGAATGTTCGGGGGCTCTGCCCGCTCCGGCCCGGCCACGGCTCGGCCGGCACACAATGTTACACGTCACACATGTACGGTTCTCCAGGGTATTAGTCGTTGGTCGCTCGGCGAGCGGGAGGGCAACCAGTTCCGCCCCTGTATCGCGTGCCCCCTTGCTCCGCCCAGTTACGCACGAGCGTACTCCACGCCGCGTAGTAGCGTGGGGAGGGGAGCGTTAGAATGGTGGCATGTGTAGAGGCTAGAACCGGTTTCCACCGCCATGCCACCGCCCAGCGACATGGAGCGGGGTCAGTGACCAGGGCGCAGGGAAAGGCCAGAGGTCAGCTATAACGTAGAGCTTTGTGTCTCCCTCCCCTCCGCGTGTAACGGCCGCACGACAGCGGCCGGCGGCCGATCAGGCTTGACATGTCAAGGTCACCCGCAGTCAACGGGCTCGGAGGGTTGGTCGAGTGCGCGTCCGTGGCTGACGACAGTCTCTACCATGTGCTATGGTGCCGATTAGTGATGTCAATTACGGAAAATCGGAATACCGATACCAAACCAAATACCAACCAAAACCGTGGAGAAATACCGAAACCAAACCAACTTGGGAACATGAGGAAAATACCAACTTTTTACCGATTTCTTAGCCTCCTAAACATTAGCAAGGGTTCATGATACCAACATAATACCAAACACATTAGCATTGAAATACCAAATACCGAGTTGGTATCGGTTTGGCATCGGTATACCAAAAAGTTTGTATCCGATTGACATCTCTAGTGCCGATAGACTAGGGTGGGTAATAAGCTTTTGTTCAGTGCATATGGCTGCTCGGGTGCGTCATCTGATATGATGCTTTGTAATGTGTATGATACGTTTAAAACCTCGCTGGCAGTGGCCGAGAGGAGAAGAGGGGGCGGGGAGACGGGTGCCGCCTCCACATGTCTATTTGCTGCGAGAGCTGAAATTTTGCAAACCTGACCTTTGATTCCAGCCGACTTTGTATGACAGCAGCTGTATTTTAACCCTCGCTCATATTGGTGTTTTGCCAGCGTCTAGCATAAAGGGGAGGGGGTCCGTTGGACCCCTTTGCCGTTCAGACCCTGATCGAGCTAGAGCTTCGCGGAAAAAGAGCGTATTGCCCGTGACGAGAGGAGGCCGTTGATACACAATTTTAAGGTCCTAGGTCATTTGTTGATAAGTCAATATATACTCAAAAGTCGGGAAAATCGGGACCTGTTAGAGCTTCTTAAAGTGAGGCTGTTATAAGGTTTTGCGGGGGTGCTGATCACGAATTTCAAGTTAACTTTTATCACAGATGATGTTTTCGTGCATCTAGTCCAGGTCGGGTCAGGTCAGGTCAGGTCACATGTTACGAGGGAACCAAAACTACTTAGTAAATGCTCAAACGGTTTCTAAATGCGAAATCAACTCCAAAATCTACCCTAGAAGCATGTAGAACTCGAAGCAGTGAACTAAGGTCATCAAAGGTCAGTGACCTGACTGTCCTTCACGTGACCTTGATACCCACTAGAATCCATGGGATCAACATCCTTTCACATGTTTGATCGCTTAAAGCCACAAAAAGACAATAAACGCGCTCATAATGTGAGCCGAAATACGCTAAATCGCGATTCCGGCCAAACATGGTCTCGGAAAACAGGTCACAAGTCAAAGGTCTTTTGAGTCAGTGTCATAAGAATTTTAAGGGTAGGCGTAATATTGATTAACTTGAGGGTACTGAAAGTTTCGTCGCGAACAGCCGCTTTTTGCGCGAGTTATTTGCGAAAAACTGAGAGTGGGGCGTCTGTTCGACACCCTCTTACAAGTGCGAAGGTTAAGGTCAGGCCGTTGACCAATGACGTCAAAAGTGAACCTCTGTAAGGTCCCAAAATGTAGCGACGTCGCAACACCCTTCGTGCCAGGGGACCTTTCACTGGGTAATGAAGCTTATATGATCTACATAATACTATCTCCTAGAGGCCTCACAACTTGAATGTAGTTATCTCGTATTTTTCTTAAGAGTCACCTGAAGTCAGGTCGGTCACGTAACTTCACGATTATTAATCAATGGGGAAATATGAAAACTGTTATTTTGGCGCCGGGAGCCGTCTAAAGCTATCTCAAGCGCATTAACCCTATTCCTGGCGGGCTCCGCCGGGACAAGAAACTGGCGGGGGGGGGCCGATTCGGCCCCCCCCCCCTGAGATCTCGAGAACGAAGCAAGATAGCGACAAGCGGTAAACGGCATCGGATACGCATGGACAAGGTCTACAATTTTTACGAAGGTCATTTTCAGGTCAGGTCAAAGATGACGTCACAGGGGTCGAAAAAGTCAAAATGGCGGCGCTAGATATGGAGAGTTTTTCTCGAATAACTTTCGAATTAGTCAAGATAGGAACAAACTAAGGGCATCATCGTGATCCTCTCGTCAATCCGCATCGAATGACATATATGTTGACCTCGAAAGGTCAAGGTCAAAGATTGACCTCAGGTCACGTGACCTCGAGGTCATCATGTATATCATTCGATGCGTCTTGACGAGCTGAACACAATGAGACCATCCACGCGTCTGTATCTTGTTCCTGTACGGAGTTATTGGCCAAAAACCTTTGGTGACCTTTGATGACGTCACATGACCTCACAGCTGCCCAACAGCAAAACAGACCTCAAGGTAGTGAAGGTTGATCGTATATGAAGTCATGTATGGTATATGGGGCTATTCCGATCCGTTTTAGTGGTAAAAACAGGGAGTTGATTTTTCCCCCATTGACTTATAATGGGGAGGTCGCGAAACTGACCTGACCTTAGGTCACCGATATCAAAATTCCGAGATATACAAATTGCACATACTGGTACCCTAACTAAAGCCTGAAGAGAAGAAATTGATCGGTCAAAAACTCTAGCTCTGGCGTGATTGCAAACTTTTCTGAGGTAGGGTCACCAAACCGCCTCTGGTGACCTGACCTGAGGTCAGATCAACTCAAAATTTTCAGACATGTTGCGTAGAAGCCTTATAGGAAAAGTCAGAAAATTTGAGCTTCCTAGCTCAACGCGTTTGGGAGAAATAACCAAAAAACCTCAGGGGGGGCTCCTGAGGCCCCCCCCCCGCCAGGAATAGGGTTAATTCGTGATATTATACAATCTTTACGAGCCCCAGCATTTACTTTTGCATTCTTGATCTTAGGCGACTTCATGTATGACGTCACTAAGGTCACAGGAGTTTTCACCAAAAAAGTCCCGATCAAATTGAGCTAGCGAGTCGGGAAGCCACCAAAGGACTTGTGAGGACCTAACCGAATCAAATAAGCGATACGATCTCCTTGGGCCAGCTTCGTGGACTGAGTGGCTCTGCCCTGATCATGACCTGAGGTGAACACCTTAAATTGACCTCAACAAAAATAAAGCGTATACTATTCGACGCGCTTGAGCATGCAAAACTCGATGGTGCCATTACCTTGGCTCTGTATCCACTATGGTGAAGTTGTTTACCAAAAACCGATCCCGCGACTTGGAGCACTTATTCTGACCTCAGAGTTTATCGTTTGACCTGAGACATTCAACTCGGGCAGCAGCTGCTGCATCTCATACGACACACGCGCTCAGTTTTATCCGGAAGGCGCTAGCTCAATTAGGGGCGAAAAGACGGAGAGGGGTCGTAATCGCCCCCCCCCCCCTCGGCCTGGGTATATGCAGAAAACCCAAAAGACTGTTGAGGGTTAAGCACTGAAGTGATATATTATGATATGAGAAGATATAGGTCAAAACAAGTATGCACACGAGCGGGTGTGAATAAAATTGTATTTGAGGTGCCTGCCTTTTTAATTATACGTTCGATTTGCTTTTGTTATTGGTAAGAACAGAGGCAACCAGGAAGAGCGCCCCTGAAGAAAAGGTGGCGCACTTGACGGGTGCGATTTTAAGGTCTAAGGTCAGTCGGGGACCTCTAAGTTCGGGTCAAGCACTCCATGTTAGGGGTAAAAGAATGGGGGCAAAAAAGCATCCCGATTTTGGCAGCATCGTCTTCGTCATGCTGTGTCACGGCACCTATCCACTCCCTCGCCCGAAATATAGTTCCCGTTTTGTATCAGTTCTGGCATAACCCGCACATTATGCTGCATGTTGTTTGTCATGAAAAACAATGCATGTTCAGCTACGTTCTACGCAGTACGCACTAACCTAACCACCATCTCACCATCCATCACTAACCACCATCCCGTTCTGTGCTCCCTTCCACCCCACACGAATCAGCCGAGATACTAGTCAGTCGGGCTAGCGCTATCCTCCCCTCCCTTCCTGACTGCACAGCGCTGAAACCTAGAGCCGAGACTTCCCGACTCCCGAGCGCGACCTCTGACCCCACGCGGTCCGAAGGGTCAGCCGTTGCCTAAGGGCGCGCCGCCCGCCGGCCACCCGGATAGCCTCTGCTGAGTCTCCCTTTCATACACCGTTTACTACGCGCTCGATTCATTCATGATTCTGTGTTTCCGCGTTCCTCTCGTTAGATGGCTCTACTGATGTCATAGGCGATCCCAGGCAGATTGCGGCCAGAATACCCCAAACGGCAGAAAATGAGGTTTTTGGTGAATATCTCGGAAAGTATTTGGCATACAAGGATGCAATTTTACAGTCTAGTGGTAAATGTGCATACACACAATTCGGGTTCATACTTATGCATTTGAACATAATATAGGACCAGATATATCCAAAAAAGCAAAACCAACAAGACTTTTACTGGAGAACCGTACGTCATATCCCGGGGCCAATCAGGAAAGGATTGCCATATTAGGAATTAAAGCTGGGCGGTCGGCAAGGAGGCTAATTGAGAGGACAGGGAAGTTACTTCGTTACATCACAACTGCGAGGTCCTTTTGAAATTTGATTCCAATAAATCATAATATTTCAACTTCAATTACTTTATGGGAAAGGATATGACGTACAACACAAGTTAGTCATATCATTCACAACACAACAACACATAATACAACACCACACGCATACCACAACACATCACAGTACAACACAACATAACACAATATAACACAACACTAGCGATATATAAGAACAGACAAGACGGT